TCGAAATCACAGCAAAAACAAAAACTTTTGCCTTTTGAAATAAAAATAGTCCTTTGTTTTCTTTTTACTCTTTGTTACAAAAGAAAGATTCTTTGTTTCTTCCATGATGCTCATTTCATCTTCACCCAGCATCGAAAGCACCATGAATGTGAGCCGCTCAAAGAAGTCAAACGTTTTCTTCTTGTTCAAGCCCTATTTCTCGTATGTAAAGTAAACAAAATTAAATCATTTTTAAGGCAGAAGTACTCTATGTTTACAGGATCTCAATTCGATGAGACCACGGGTTCGATCCCTCACTGGGACATAATTCTTGCCTGTGATTCCAGCGTCACGCTTACCCTCAGGGTGCGCGATAAGCCGGCTGAGAAACATCCCGTCGCATCAGAATGAGTAAATATCTATAGAGTAAATCGAGTAAAAGGGCGTCCCCCGGGAAGCAATGCGCACTCGAGCCCGATGGATGCGAATAGTGGGCTAGGGCCACCGTCTTACAAAGAGCAGAGAAGGGTAAAAAAGCTAGCTCAAGGCAACTTTCCGAAAACTCAGAAGCACTCCGATTAGCTATCATCAATGTCGGAATCCTCACTGGACGACATCGAGAATTGGCGATCTCCTAAGAAAATGGCGAGTGGATATAGCCTGCATATAGGGAACAAAATGGAAGTGTGGAAAATCATGTGATATCGGAGATGGCTATAAGCTTCTCTACAATGGCATAAGCAGCAGTCGCAATGGAGTAGGTTTAGCTGTCTCAGAAAGCCTAAGAAGGATCCGCAGTTATTAAGTGATCGACTTATGAGCATAAAGATTGAGGCAGAAAAATCTTTCGGAATGCCACCACCTAAGCTCCGCAAACCGGATGCAAGGAGGAAGAAAAGGATATATTCTGGCAGGAGTTTGACGACTACACGTCCATACCACAGGATGAGATACTCCTGCTCGGAGCAGACCTAAACGTTCAAGTGGGGGGAAGAAATGGTGCGAGAAAGTGTCACGAGAACCACGGATAAGCACATGCAATGAAGAAAGCCAACGCATTCTAGAGTTCGCCACAGCGTACAACCTAGCATTAGTCACACGTACTACATCAAAAAAGCATGAACACCTGATTACGTATTCAAGTGGAGACCGTCTGACCCAATTTGACTACTGGGCAGTGCGTTACAATAACCTAAAGAACATAAAGGATTGCAAAGCTATCCCAGGAAAGCTGCATACCTCAGCTTAAGCCACTACTTCTAGACCCAAAAATTCCGGTTAAACGACAAAAAAATCATAACTAACAACAAAGCACGAGTCAAGTGGTGGAAATGGAGAGGGAACTCTCTGGCCAAAGAAGTTCTGATAAATACTGTACCGGTCTTATGTGAGAAACCAGAACACTCATGGTCAACGTTGAAGCGTAACCTGCATTGGGTAGCAAGTAGTTTACTGGGTTACAAGAAGCCAGAAAGAAGAAGAAGACAAAGAAACTTGGTGGTGGCACGATGAGGTTCAAACGGTAATTAAGGAAAAGAGTCAGGCATACAAGCAATGGCACAAGTCGAAATCGGAAAGCGATCGACAGTTATACCTAAAAATGGAACACGCTGCAAAAACATGTGTCAAGAAAGCGAAGAAAGCATGCGTAGAAGAGCTGTATAAGAAATTGGAATCCCGCGATGGATAGCTCGACATATACCGAATAGCGCGAGGGAGGGCAGAGTCCGCAAAAGATGTGGAACACTCGAAGTGAAGGATAAGCTTGGAAAAACGTTAAGAAGACACAGGAAATAACTGAGAGATGGCGAACGTACTTCGAAGAAATGTCCTCTACTACCAGCAGTAGCACAGTCATCCCACTGCTGAAACTGTGAA